ATCCTGAACAAGTATTTATGAACATTAAAAAAATAATAATAAAAGCTTTTAAAATATGATAAAGTTTGTCTGAGAATAATCTATGTATTGTACACCCTAAATATTTATGAAAATTAAAAAAATAAATAAAAAAGAAAAAGTATGTATTTAATGAAATTACATAATTTTTACATTTTATTTTGAAACTTTAAAAATGTTTAATATATTAAATGAAATAATGAAATAATATATTAATAATGTATTAATCAAATAAAATAATTTAATAATATCAATAATAAATATTATTAATAATATAAAAAAATGAGCTGGTGTTTTTATTAATTTATTTATTCATTTTTATTTTATTTATTTTATTTGTTTTAAAGAATGCAACCAGGTTAAAGCACTATAAAATGATTTTTCAAAGTTGCAAATAAAACAAATATTATTGGAGTATGTCTTACAAGAAAATACTATCTCAGTCATTTAATTCAATGCTGTTTCTTTATCAAATTTACAAGCAATTTCAGAGTGAAAAAGTAAAATGATATTTACATTTTTAGTCAAATAATAATATAAATAATATGTCAAAGTAAATCCTCTGTCTCTGTCTCTCCAGGAGCTGCTGTTTGGTCTCACTCTGTGTGATTCTGGCTTGTTTACCCTGGGCTGGTCTTCAGTAAAGTGCATGAGCTTCAACACCTTCACCTGCTGCTCGACAGAAACAAAAGAGCAGAGGTGAGCCAGAAATAGCCGCGCGAGAGCACTTCCTCTTGGCCGATCAAAGGCGCGTTTGTGCAGCTTTAACTCCCCGCGGCTCTCGCGCAGATAAGCATCACAGCGCGGCTCACGCACACACACACACACACACAGCAGTCTGCTGCTGCGACAGAACTCCTCGCCTTTTATTGTCTCGTTTAGCTTTCCTCCAGGGTCTGCGACGTAGATTGTCTCTGTGCAAAAGTAAATAGATTCGACATGATTCTTCAGCAGATACGCAGTGATGGAGGTGTGAAAGCTTTGCTATAGAAACGCATTCAAAAGCATTTCAAAAGGTGACTTTAAAGTAAATTACTGCATGTTTTTAGCATTCAAAGAATTATCAGACAACAGAAGGTTTGGTTTGATTAATAAAATGTATTATTTATGTGGGCAGGAAAGTTAGTTATATATATAGTTATATAATATTATTATTAGAATAATACTTTAAAACTTAAAAAAGTTATTTAATGCATTTCATATATTTTTACTTTTTAATTAAATATATAAAATATTATTTAATATAATGCATATTAAATAATATTTTATATATTTAATTAAATATATATTTTTAAGTATATATATATATATATATATTTAAAAGTTTTTAAGTATTGTTTTTGTTTTTATTTATTATTATATATTTTTTTGCATTATTAATGCCCTTGTGTTGTGTTGAGTTCATTTATATATACAGAGAGAGAAAGAAAAACATTTAATAATATTAATATTTTTCTATATAAAATGTGCATATTTGATAGCCTAATGTATTTGAAAAAACAGGGCGGAGAAAGCAAAAAGAAAAACATTTAATAAAACATGATTAAAAATAAATATACATTTGTGCATTTATGCAGATGCTTTTATCCAAATCAATTTGGATAATAAAATAAAAAAATATTAAATATTCCTGTAACAACATATTAAAAGCTAGTGTCAGTTATTAATTTATTAAAGTCATATTTTAATGGGTTTTAATAAACCTGCTGACAGATATCAGTTACTCAAAGCAGTGGCATTAACCTGCTTTACCAGTGAAATCAATCCTTTATTCCATTTAATTATTGCATTATTAATCATTCATATTGCTATGCATTCGAATCACGGTTGAGATTGTAGAGTTGCTTTAGCTGGCTGTAATGCATTATAATAATTTGACAGGAGAACGGCTGAGAGCTTCCCATAGGCTTCCTGCGGCTGATAAGAAAGGAAAGCACGCTCTCGCTCTGAAAGCAGAACTGCTGAGCACCTTCAGGAAGAGCTGAGTGCTCTGTGGGCTTTGTCATTTAAGGCAGAGGTCAATCCCGGGCTTCACAAAGCGAGGAAGCCCTCCACCCCAGAGAAACACTCGCTCGCCCTGAAGAGTAAAGCAGCTTCTATGACAGAGGTGACATTATTTCAGCATGTAACGTGTGTTTCTGCACAAACTAGCTTTTCAAATGATCCTATTCCCATTATTATGCACTGTGAAGTCATTTCTGATTAACATACAGCATGTAGAGTATCCATTGAAATGAATATGGTAAAGTGTGTTCGAGAATTATCAGTGTAAACCCTAAATGTTTATGAAAAAATGAAATATTTAAATAACATCATTTTTACATTTTGGTAATTTTTCACTAAAAAAAAAAATTTATTTAATATATTTAATGAAATAATAAAATATTTTTTATTTTAATTGATTTTTTTTAAATAAAATGTTCAAATTAAATAATACAAAATAATATAATATAATATAAAATAATATATTTATATATACACACACACACATATATATATATATAATTTGACAGGAAAAAAGGAAGACAATTAAATCAAATAATATTTAAAAAATAGAATATAAATAATTTAAGAAGTATTCTTAATAATATAACAATATTATAAATATTCTTAATAATATATATATATAGATAGTTTAACAATTAAACATGAACCTGGTAGTTTTTCCGTTTTTTTATTTATTTAAATATGACTCTTTTTCTGTGAATGCATCCAGGTGAATGGTCCCTCACAGCTCATGAATAATACATCAGTGATATGTGTGTGTTTCTTTAAAAATGATCAGAGATCTAAATGTTTCAGTGTAGGTTCTTCAGATCAGTATGTTAGATTCTGGGCTCTTAAGAACTCAATAACTCATAAAAGAACTTACAAAGCTCTGTTTAGAACTTAAGTGACTATTTTCTGTCAAACTGAGCCACAAAGGTGCGCATAAACCGACTCACGCCTGCCAGTCTTCTGAAGATGGTTTCATTAATTGTCGTTTAAATGTTGATGAGGTCTGCGGCGTCCCACTGACCCGGAGCTTCAGTCCATCTGCATTCTTGCTCTTTGAACCATAAACATCCTCCTTTCAAAGAGCTTGGCAGGAAGTTTCGGAGTTTTCCCTTCAACGTGAAAATATGAGCCTGCTGGATTACTTCGTAATAATTCTGATAGAATATAAATGCGTGTATATGAAATGCTGAATGTTCCTGTGGTGGGAAATTGTCTATTACTTTCATCGTCTATTGGTTTGCATTGCAGTCGCATAAAATAAGTATATATTGATCAACCGAATGCTGGGCCTGAAAAAGCATTGTTAATGCATGCTGTAAAATTAACTGCATGCTGTATATAAGCAAGTAAGTGTATTTATTTATTTTAAAATGTTTTAATGTGTGTTTATGAGAATCAATTAAGTGATTAAGGCTGTAAGTGAAAGCGCGTGCGACAGATCGACTGCGCGGTTTCCACTGAAACATTATACTCACGCTCGCGCTGTCTGTTCAGTTTCAGAGGCGTGATAGATGCTGCTGACATACACAACACACAGCTGCACACCTGAGAGAGAGAGAGAGAGAGAGAGAGAGAGAGAGAACCACACTGCGGCCTGAATAACTCTTGTGTGAACTGACTATAGACTTGGAGATCAATGTCTGCACCTGTTATTTAAAAATAATCACTTTATTATATGAATGCATGAAATAGTCATTTGCACAACAAAGCTCTTTTTTTCTAGACCTCATCATAAAATAAAATAAATATTTTATTTAAATATATATATATATATATATATATATATATATATATATATATATATACGCCTACAATATTTATTTAAAATGTTGCATTTATTTATTTTACTATATTTTTATATTGAGGTTTATTTATATTTAATTATATCTGTTTTATTTATTGGTTTTATTTATTGAGGATTAAGTTAAATGGGATCGAAATAAACGCGGGTTCAATTTAAAATGATAAAATAGAATTAATTTGGATTTCATAAAATGAATTGCCTCACTATAGCTGGAGCGTTATAGGATATGTGCAATATTGGTCTTTGGTTATATTCATTGATCAGGGATAATTCTCTCTTCGTTCAAAAAATAAATAAATAAAAATAAATGTACAAACCTTTTCTGGAATCGCAAAAAAGAAATAGGCTTTGAAAATGTGGTTTTATTTATTGAGGATTAAGTTAAATGGGATCGAAATAAACGCGGGTTCAATTTAAAATGATAAAATAGAATTAATTTGGATTTCATAAAATGAATTGCCTCACTATAGCTGGAGCTATATTATTTTGTCAAATAATATATATGTAATATCATTATAAATATTATATAATTATAAATATAATAATGATTCAAAATGGATTAAAATTGTTCAAGCATGGTGCTATTAATTAATAAAATAAGATCAAATATAATAATAGATAAAATAGTAAAAAATACTGCGTTATAGGATATGTGCAATATTGGTCTTTGGTTATATTCATTGATCAGGGATCTCAAAAAAGAAATGTGCAATATTGGTCTTTGGTTATATTCATTGATCAGGGATAATTCTCTCTTCGTTCAAAAAATAAATAAATAAAAATAAATGTACAAACCTTTTCTGGAATCGCAAAAAAGAAATAGGCTTTGAAAATGTTGCAGTGAATATCTAGCCGACCGTGCATTCAGCGATGAGCGTGTTATTCCGGGAGAGAGAGAGAGATAAATGTACAAACCTTTTCTGGAATCGCAAAAAAGAAATAGGCTTTGAAAATGTTGCAGTGAATATCTAGCCGACCGTGCATGAGCGTGTGAGCGTGTTATTCCGGGAGAGAGAGAGAGAGACAGAGAGAGAGAGAGAGACAGAGAGAGAGAGAGAGACAGAGAGAGAGAGAGAGAGACAGAGAGAGAGAGAGAGAGAGACAGAGAGAGAGAGAGAGACGTGACGAAAGCGGAATACGGTGATGATGAGGAGGACATCAGCAGAGCTTCGCCTCTCACGCGAGGAGGGAAACAAAGTTGCAGGATCTTCCAGAAGAGCCCTCGAGCTTAAACGACATCGAGATCTCGAGCCCATCACAGCGAAAGCCGGGCGTTACCGGAGCAGGAGCTTTTATTTCATTCAAAAGTCTCTCCGTTAATGGATCCGCGGTGACCTGATGCGCGCACCTCACTCCAGAGCTAGACTCAGGTACCGGACAGCCCTTTCTCACCACACTACAGCTACAGCCCGCTGCTTGTGCTGATGTGTTGTTTGCTCGTGTTTTTCAAGTGATGGCATCTTACCGTAGCTTAGATGATGACGCAATGGCTCTGATGGTCCACGACACGAACGCGGTGAAGAAAGAAGAGTTCGCGAAGGAAGAGCCGCTCCAAGAGCCGAGTTCGGAGAAGGTGGATGCGTCTCAAAAGCCGCCTTACTCGTACGTGGCTCTGATCGCCATGGCCATCCGGGAGAGCTCGGAAAAGAGACTGACCCTCTCCGGCATCTACCAGTACATCATCACCAAGTTCCCCTTCTACGAGAAGAACAAGAAGGGCTGGCAGAACAGCATCCGACACAACCTGAGTCTCAACGAGTGCTTCATTAAAGTTCCCCGGGAGGGCGGCGGGGAGCGCAAGGGCAACTACTGGACTCTGGATCCGGCCTGCGAGGACATGTTCGAGAAGGGCAACTACCGGCGCCGGAGGCGCATGAAGCGGCCGTTCAGACCGCCGGCGGCTCACTTCCAGCCGGGCAAGTCTCTCTTCGGCGGCGACGGATACGGCAGCTACCTCCCCGCGCCCAAATACCTCCAGCCCGGCTTCATGAACAACAGCTGGCCGCTTGCGCAACCACCGCCGCCGATGAGCTACGCGTCCTGCCAGATGACCACCGCCAACATGGGTCCCATGAAAGCACTGTCCGGTCCGTCGTACAACCCCTACAGTCGAATGCAAGCCATGGGCCTGCCGAACATGATGAACTCGTACAGCGGGATGGGGCACCACCAGCACCCGGCGCCGCAGCAGCAGCCCTCGCCGGTCCCGTCTAACTCCGCGGCCGCTCTGCAGTTCACCTGCTCCCGGCAGCCGGCCGAGCTCTACTCGTACTGGGACCACGAGGCCAAAAACTCGTCGTTACACTCGCGGATTGACATTTGAACCGAGGGAATGTGTGAACTGGGCGCAGGGTCTGTTTTACGCGTCCAGCGAGGTAAACAGGGTAACTTTTGATGCTGAAGAACAAACACAGATCTGAACTATCTCAGTCCCTGAATGTTCCGGACTGCATGGATAAATGTTTGTTTTTTTACAATCTAAATCAGTAGGTTTTTTTTTTTGTTTGTTTTTTGATCGCTTCAGGATAAAACATGCACGTTTGACAAAAATGCCTTCGAAAATTCATTTGAGGACCGTGCAGAAAGAAAAGCATTTGCTAGATTGTTTGGGACCATTGTGATTTTTACATTTTGGATTGTCAAGCCAGCACTTATTATTTTCTTTTTGCTTTCAATAAAATAGTTTTGATTCAAATGTCTTCGACACTCGGTGAGCACTGAAAAAGTATGGTTCCATGTGGACTTTTAACATCCATGCAGACTTTCCATTGCACAAAAGGTAGTTTGCAGCGGAAAAGGATTCTTTAGATTATTAAAATCTTCATCACACTAAGAAAAAAATGGTTCTTTTAAGAACTGTTCACTGTTGACGAGCCCGAACTGGTTCTTCTGCAAAGAAAGAGAAAAAAACCCTGAGTGTATTCAGCCAAATATCTATAGTTTTTATTCTAGAACGACTCTTTCGTGCCATTTTGATATGCAAAGATCATAAAATCACAGATTTTTTTATTTTTTCAGATAAAGTGCTGTTATTCTAAAATATACACATTTTTTAAATAAAGAGATAAAAATTATATCAAAACGCGCTTATTCTAAAAAAAATATCATTATTAAAAAAAATTACTCTAAAATAATTAGAAAAGCACTCGATTAGAATAACTGATATTCCTGCTTCTGGCGGAAGATTTGATTAGGATGATAATTAATCAGCGTAAATGTAATTAAGGCCCGTTAGCTGATCTTCAATTCTGTTTCATTTCGTTCCGTAAATAAACTCCATTCAAATAATGCATCAGTGTTTATGGTGTTCTCTGGTGAGAAAAAAATGTTTACAAGAAAACTTACTCTTATTCTTGTTCCAGCTGAAAACAGTGTTGCATTTTGATTTAAAGAAACGTATTTAAAAAGAAGAAGAAGAATTGATTAATACATTGTATTCTTTCTGTTTTTCGTTCCAGCAGACACTAAAAACATTTAGCCCGTGTTATTTTTATATTCTGTAGACAATTAAATCTAAACACACGAATAAGAAAACTAGAGAATTGTTCTTCTTTCTTTCAATTATAATATGGCCCTGCATTTAATTTCAGTCTATCTGCTGGGTCTGGCTTTTTGATAAAAAATATTATATCTCATAAATACATTCCTCTGTTCGTCTCATGCAAATCGAAATGGAAATTAAATCGTGTAAAACTGTGTCGAAATGGTCTTTTAGAATAGCTACAGCAAACGCGAGAATAACAGGCCTGCGTTAACAGAAAGATGCAGCAGCTGAAATACTGTCGCGAAACTAAAGACTAAACAATGCTTTCTTGTTATTGTTTGTTTGCATTTGTTACATAAACTGATCATGCAAATGTGCATCTCCTCAGATTTATTACCTTATTGTTAAATGACAGTCAGACGATATGTTTTTATGATCTTATAATAATAATAATAATAATAGCATCTATGCAGCCCTGATTCTTTTTATATTTCGAAAGAACAGAAAGCAAGAAAATACTGATACGTTCTATTGCAATCACCCCAAATAAAATGCATGAATGATAAACAGCCTGATGTTAATGATCATAAACCTTCATGCATTCATTTTAATTTGCATTAAAAGTGACTTTTCATTTGCAATTAATTTTTAAATATTAAGCATTATTTTTGTTTGACCATAAATCGCCGTTAAGTCTCTTCTGCGCGTCGCTGCAGCTGATGTTTGTATTTCACACTGATTCTATTGATTTAAAAGAAAAGAGCTGATCAATATTTATCTCACTGTACACAGAGTCTGAATTTCCGCTGAGAGAGGCTTTACTTTCAGAATCCGGCAATTGTGCAAAAACCATAACAAAACCGACTCAAATCACATGCTTGTTTGTGAAATCATTTATACAAGAGCTGAAAATGGCACATTCCTTCCTGAGTGTCACGTGACTGAGCATGAACACGTGATGTAAATAATTCCACCTGCCAGGGATAATTAAAAAGTGTAATAGGCCTATATTAATCCAAACGTGTATTGTAGCTATCATTTCTAATTCCAGAGCGACTCTTGCGTGTGATTTTGATATAAAAACATCAGAGAATCACACAGATTGATGTTATTGCACAGCTTTTTCAGAAGCATCTCTTCAGGTCAAAGTTAGATTTAATGTAAGGTGTTTTTCTGAGTTCAGCAGATGAGGGCAAACACAAACAGCTGATGTCTGACCACTAGATGGCGCTATAAGCACATCACGAGCTATAGATGGACAGATTTCTGAATAATTGTTTTTAAAATATTTTTGTGATTATAGTTAGCTAGAGAAGGTGAATTGGGATAATCTGTGGCATTTAGTGTAATGCTCTATTTACACTGCAAAGCCTTGAAATTAGTTTTGTAGACAAATATAAGTTGTATGTATGAATCTTTTTATAAAACTAAAAGTTTTTCTTTTTAATGTTTGAGTGTATAATGAAAAAAATAGCAATGATACGAGCTCATAAAATACATTTGCTAAAATATATATATATAAAAAAGCACATTTTGCTATACTTCAACTATACAAAAGTACTTGCATTAGCTATACACAATTATCAGTTTTCCTTTTCAGCCTATTTGCTGTGTTAATAATGTTTTGCATATTGTGTGTGTGTGTGAGAGAGAGAGAGAGAGAGAGAGAGAGAGAGAGAGAGAGAGAGAGAACCGGTTTATATATCCTTAAACCTGACTACACACAGACTCATGTCGTGGTGGGGACCTAAATTGTGGTGAAAAAGAGTGTGTGTGTGTGTGTGTGAGAGAGTGTGTGTGTGTGTGTGTGTCTGTGTGAGAGAGAGTGAGTGTGTGCGTTTTTGTGACAAATGAGGACATAAATGTGTATAATGACAAAGGTATGGCAGGGATTACAAGGAGAAGGTGACTTTTCAGGACATTACCCCATGTCCCCACTTTTCAAAACGCTTATAAATCACACAGAATGGAGTGTATTGAAAATCTAAAAATGCAGAAAGTCTCCTGTGAGGGGTAGGTTTAGGGGTAGGGTTGGTGTAGGGCAATAGAATATACGGTCTGTACAGTATAAAAACTGTACGCCTATGGAGAGTCCCCACTTTTCACAAAAACAAACCTGTGTGTGTGCGTGTGCATGTGTGTGATCATGAGTGTGTGTGTGTGAGTGTGTGTGTTAAAGAGTTAAAGAGAGAGAGAGAATATTAGTATGTTTGTGCAAGTATGATTGCAGTGCTGACATGTGAACGGTAGCAGCAGATATTCTCTAACAGAGAGACTGAAGGCTTTTTCCTGGACTCCGACTGTGACGTGTGTTTCTCATCACACACGGATCATCAGTGTTTGCTGACATCGACATCAGACCACAACAACACTTCTGAACCAGGATGAAGTTAAAGCTGAAATCAGTCATCGCCGCACAGAGACGACAGCATCTACAGGTCAGCTTCAGCTATGATTTATCATTCCTGTTATCATTTATTTATATAAGTGAATTTGATTTGGCAGGTTTTGCACATTTTTTAAAGATAAAATAGTGTTTATAGATTGTGTGCACGTTCTTTTAAAATATTGCATCTGTTCCTAAATACAGAAATACACTTTTCATTAGATCTGATTTAATGTTGTAGAATATTACTTTAATATGCACATACTGAATTTCAGACACATTAAACAGATTGCAGAAGCAGCATGTTAAGAGTTACAATCATTCTTATACTGTAAAAAATGGTTCTTCAGAGTTATAAAAAAAAACAACGATTATTGGGATTTTTACTTAAAAAGTTGACATTTAATTCAATGTGTTACTTGCCATTTCTTTGTAATTATTCGTGAAATGTAGCAATTTCTGAGTGAAAATTGTTTCTACAGTGTTACAACTAACACTCCAGTAATAAAAGACAATGCATGCTGTGCAAATAAAACGCATTATAACAGTCATTTATCAGCATCAGATTAACCATCAATATCTTTATCTGTTTATTAATGTGGAAAATGAAGCATCTCTGTATATCCAGTGGATTATTCCAGTAATTCAGCCGCTTTTATCAAAATATGCTTTTTAAAATAAATGCTTTGACTTTCACTTTTCTGAGCCAATTAATTCATGTCTGTCTGTGTAAAGAGAGAGGAGAGTACAGTGCTTAAGTGCTGTCAGCTTCGTTAGGATAATAAATGTACCTAATAATGACCCCAAAGTGCAAATTCATTACCGTGACTAAAGCAGAAACTGCTGTGATGAATCACGGGAGCATGCATACAGCACATGCATGAAAGGATTGTTCTGAAAGAGTGAGGAAAACACATGCTCAGTGCAATACTAAACCATATAATTATGCATTTAAATAATTGAATTGAATTGTTTTCTATGCATTATGGTGGGAAATGATAATTCTGCCGTTTTATTTTCTGCTTTTGGGTGTTTGATGCATAACGTGTTCAAATGTATTTGAATATAGAAGGAAAGGTCTTTATTTCATCATTTTAATCATTTCTTGTTTTAAATGGCCTTTGTAGTGTGAACATTTACATTTTAATACAAGTATTCCATCTTTTAAATACTATGAGCTCGTAAAAGCTTATTAAGCAATAAGCAAATTGCTATTTAAAATGTATAAAATACATTAAAAAAGATATAAAATATGTAAAAGCACATTATTTTAACTTTCCAAAAGTATTTAATGTGAACTAGCTGTACACAAAATGATCAGTTTTCCTGTTCATCTTATGCAGTGTTAATACTTTTGCATGTTATTGGGCTGATGCTGTTCATGCAATATGAATGATTTCAGTGCTTGCTTTTTAAGGACATTCCTGATAATTTTTTTTAATGCTAATTAGGTAAATGATAATTCTGCTGTTGTCATGCATTTGCGTGTTTGATGCATTTCAATGAATATGAAGATTTTAGGTTCAAATGTATATGAAAGTGAAAGTTCTTGTAACTTCAAATATTTTGCCCTTTTAATTTTAACAAATATTCCATCTTTCAAATCATATGAGCTCATCTATTAATAAAATAAAATGAAAATGAAATAACTGTATTTCTGTACTCGCTAACATACCGTACACAAAATTGTCCATAATTTTAAAACATAATTTAAATTGCATATTATTGGGCTCACTCATGCAATAGTAATTATTTCAATGCTTGATTTGAAGG